TGGCTCCTTGGCTCTCTTTCCCAGACCAAGTGGGCGCACAACTTTTCGCTCCTCGCTCCCGAGCACGCCCCGCGCGTCTCCGCCGCCAGAGCCAGCGGGCGAAGAGGCGCCGGGATCCGTGGTCCTGGCTGGCCTGGAAGGAGAGGATGTGGCGGAAGTACCCGCGAGCTTGCTCTCTGGAGGTCTCACCTGAGCTCTGGGGCTAGCGTTATCTCGCCAAGCGGCTGCGTGACCCACGGCTGCTTTCTGTGGGAGGAAGAGGACCAGGCAGGGCAAACCGGCCGTGCGTACCAGCTTCAACCCAACCCAGCCCGCTGCCTTTGGGTCGATTTCGACTCAAAGCGACCCTGTAGGACAGAGCGGACCTCCTCCTAGCTCCTTGCATGCCTGCTTCCTTCCCGGTGATTCCTAAAGCCGCTCTCCTAAGCAGTGCCGTGTTTGCAAGACAACTACCTATGACTCAGACCTTCGCTGGCTTAGAGGCCCCGTGCTCAGTTCCTGTAGGGTGGATCCCATCCTGACAGCCCCTGCCTTCAGCTCCCGTGGGGAATGGTATGAGAGATGGCAGAGAGGTAGGCGCGAGGGGCGCCCCTTGAGTAAGTGTGGAGAGACAGGATCTGAATTTGCTGGGAGATAAAGCCTCTTCCCATTCTATCTTAGCCTCCTGGGCACCTCCTTGCAGACCCCCTGCCCCCTTCTCATAGACCTAGCAGGGGTCTATCCCTCCTGTGGACTCCACTCAGATCTTGGGGAACTGCCAACCCTGATAGAGTCCGTGCAAGGAGGACCTATGAATCTCAGGGTTCCTAATACTTTTCCCTTCTGTGGGGCTTATCGAATAGTAAAATTTGGTCCATTTGATCATCTTTTAAATAAAATGAATAAACCATAGATGATTTTATATTTTTTTGTATGTCCCTTCCCCCAGGAGACCAAGTTCTTTCCCTGCCCACTAAAAGTCAGCTTTGAGGATGGGTCTTACCAGCTGGGGACAGAAGCGGAAACAGAAGGGGAAAGGGTGGGGAGGACCAGACACACGGTCTGCATAGTTCTGCTGTCTGCCTCGAATTAATGAGACAGAGTGAACAGAATGAGAAAATAGGCACAATATGCTTATACCATTTATGCAAAATTGACATTTGTGTGTGTGTGTGTGTGTGTGTGTGTGCGCGCGCGCGCGCCCGTGCGCGTGTGCTGTATCTAACATCTCATTGTGATATAATGAAAGAATGTTGACTACAGGTCTAAAATCTGTCTGTTTCATATGCTAGTTGTTAGAGGCCAAAAAAATCTTGGTGAGTTATTTCAGAAAGGAAGATGTTAAGAGGTATTCCCAACCTCCCCCTCCAGCTGCACCTGCCCCTCCACCCCCAAGGTAGTCAGTAAGTGACTGTGTTCTTTTCTCAGACATTGTCTGGTTACAGGCTGTTCAGCAATGAGTTGATTTTCTCTCGGGAGACAGAAAATAAAAACAACCAAACCGCAATAAAATTATAACTGTGGCTAGACAAAGTAGACAAAGAAATAGATCACGTATTAGGTCCTGTATAATTTTCCAGGAACTAGGTTCACTTGGAACAAATGGTCAGGACCTCTCCTGGCGGTACCTCCCTATGAGAATGAAAGAAAAGGTCACGTGTTATGCTGAAGGCTGGGAATGGTGACCAGTAGCATGCTTGTCTCAAAAGAAAGTCAGAGGGGTAGAGGACAGGATTCTCAAATCTCCTTTTCTTAGAGGGAAAAAAAACCAAATGGACAAGAAAGCTGGTGTTGTGACAAAGTGGAGAGAGTCCCAACAAGTTTGTGTTCGGAATGAGGTTCTTTCTGCTCACCTAATCCACATTTAGAAGCCATGGCGCTGAAATGGTTGAGTGCTCCATGGTTAACTGGAAGGTTGGTGGCTGGGACCACCAGCTTCTCTTCTACTTGCACAGCATTCCTATAGGATGTCTTCATGGAATTGTGGCCACACACAACCCGTGGTAGCCCTGCCACACACCTGATCCTCTCTGCTTAAGGCACTGCGGTAGGAATTTCCTGGATAATTCTCAGTAGAGGTCTGGATGATTAAGCAGTGCAAAAGAGGGACAGGGTCATGTTGAAAACCCTGTAAAGATGTTTCTAAAATAATCAGGGATGCTGAAAGACAGGGCATTTGCCTCTTTAACAATTCCACCCACTTCTAATAGGATGCAGTGTAATGTCACACTGGTGAGCACCTACCTCCTTAAGAAAGTGTTTTCCTTTCAACATCCTCTCCAGGGTTGCAGCCTTCCTGCAGGAAGAGGTCTGTGCCACACAGGGGTTTTAGAATGGCAACTGAAATTGCTTGTGCTGTAAGGCGTTTGGGGGGGGGGGTGATAATGTGGTAGGGAGGGGTATCATTGGGGGCATTGGGATGGGGGAGGGTTGGATTTCGAATAACTTTGGCCTCCTGATGGAATAGGTTGAAACAGAATGCCTCCAGCCTAGGTCTTGGCGTCAGGCAGTTTTGCAGAAGAGCCTATTTTGGTAGAGAGTGAATGAACTGAAGAGAGACTCCGTGTGCTCAGTAAACACTTTTATTTTTCACTTTGCCTGGAACCTTTGTTACAATTCTGACGACGGGAAACAGTCAACCAAGTGGCTGGTTTCTTGAGACTGAGGGATCAGTGGGCCTGCAGGTAGTCTGGGAAGGGTTGGGGAGCTAGAGGACCCCTAGGTAACTGGAGCAGGGGATGACAGAATGGAGCATATCTATTATTTGCAGCATTAAAATGCATTTTTTCCCCTGGTTAACACGAAGTGGAAACAAAGAAACTAAAACAAAAAGCTTAGGATGATTGCTGAGAACTCTCAGGTTTATCGATTCCTCTTAGGTCAATGAATGAGCTCATAGAATATCCCCAAAAGATGAGGTTTAAAAGTGAGAGTTTCATGAATGATGGGATCTCACAGTGGACTACTTGCTGGGATTTATTTATGTTTTTTAGGAAGCCAAACCACAAATACACACTAGTTGATATGCCATTTTCCCCCCATGGATACAAAGTTCTTTTCACACATAGAGGATTATGCATGCCCTTTTTGTTGTATGGCCCTTGAATTTGAATTATAATCTTGGATTTTAAGTCATAATAAAAACTTAAAATAGGAAAAAGTTTAAGATAGCTATTTTGACAAGGTTGGAAACATGTAAACACATTTAGAATAGGTTTTCTTTTTTTTTCTTCCTTCTTTAAGTTTTGAGTTCATTTTAAACCAGCCTGGTGCTAAAATCATGAAAATCTATGGTGGTGCTCCACTTCAGTGAATATGAGCAGTTTACAGGGTTTCCTTTCGGTCAAGCCAAACCAAATGTACAGCCACCACAGTGAGAGTAGAGGACAAAGTAGCACTTCCCTGTGGGATATTTGCAAATCTTTAAAGCCTCAGATTGCCCTATCTTTCTCCTGTGGAACAGCTGGTGGGTTCAAACAGGTGAACTATGGGTCAGCAGCCAATTTCACCACTGGGTCACCCGGGCTCCTTTCTTTTAGGCAGTAGTTGTCCAACTGAGATGCCTGGGCCATTTTCTTCTGAGACTTGTCAGAAATGCAAATAGTCGGGTCCCTGGGTTGAGTGGGGGAACCAACATGTGGACTTGAACAAAACCTGGAAGGTATTTTGATGCTAAAGTTTTTGAACAGCCAGAGGCAATTTTATTCTCAAGTAATACGTATAAAGATGAGAAGAAGGTGGGAGGAAAAAAGACCCGTCTTGCAAAATTTAATATTTATCTGTTTTTGTCCTGAAGCAACCTAAGACAAAATGACTTCATAAAACAAAATAAAAGAGAAAGTATAAGCACGCTAAATATACCATAGGATGGTTTTACTGTTTATTATATGGTTTGACAAGTTAAGCTGATTTCTATGGAGCATAAAAAAAAAAAAAAAAAGCCAGTCTCTGATATCAAGTTAATTCAGACTCATAGTGACCCTGCAAGACAGCATAGAACTGTCCCTGCCGATTTCCTGGACAGTAACTCTTTACAGGCGTAGAAAGCCTCTTCTTTCTCTCCACAGAGTGGCTGGTGGTTTCCAACCGCAAACCCTGTGGTTAGCAATCCCACTCTAACCACTGCCCTCACCAGGGCTCTGATTTCTATGGATGTGCCTGTGAATTCCTGGGATCAGATCCTCCCTGAGCTTGTAGAGCAGAGTTGTGCTACTCTACATTCCTGGGCTGCTGGTTTGTTTGTTGTTTTGGTTTTTTTTAGTTGTCCCTGAAATTAGGACTGTATCTCTTAATATTGAATGTAATTACTAATCTTGAGCTTGCCATTGTATTTTCAGTAAATAGAGGTGTAAAGACTTTCTGAAAACCACATCTGTGCGGAGAACCTTTGGAGAAGGTTTTCAAAGTGGCATTATCTCCCATCTTCCCAGGTGCTAGAAAAGAGATAAGCGCCAATTCAGTTTCTAAACAGAAACTGACTCAGGGAAG